AGTGACCAACTGAGTTTGTTTGTATACATCTCCTCTTTCCAATATGATATTGACATGATAAGAGTAATATCCAAATAAAAATAACTCCTGGACAGCTCTGGGAAACAAAGTTGCAAAGCCTAAAAACCTCGGGGAAGTTTTGCAAGATGAGGCAAATGGATGGATGGAATTCAGTATTGATGTTGGCAATTCCATAGCTACCATTCGCTATGAAATATTCAACGTTACTCTTTTTGTTATCTCTGTGGTAGTTTCTTTTGATATTCAATGTTGCTCATCTCCTTTTGTAATTTCTGATATTTCCCAGTGTTGTTTTTTCTTTCTGTAGTGGTGCTTTCTCTGTCTCCTTGATAATAATTTTAAAATGTTTGTAATTTTAATGACCTTGGCAAGTACAGGTTCTGGGGAACTCATTGAAGGGGCAGATAATAGGTGTGCCACTGGGGATAAATATACTGGATTAATTAACCTTAGCATATTATTTCCTATTCTCAAACAAAACAAAACAAAATAAAACAACAACAAAAAAAGCCTGACAAAACAAAAACAAAGCCATTACACATACACAACTGTGACCTCATTTCCTACTGCTCAAATTCATTCCTGTATTTTCTAAGGCTGTTCTAGGGTTAAATACTGGCCATACCATCTTAGTCATATGTATCTGGCTAAGTTGGCCATGGTTTTGTGATCTGTCAAATGAAATAACATGGTCCCATAGGGTGGTAGAATTAGTTAGATAAAATACTACACATAAACCAACCAGTATTATACATAGAATGGCATCTGGCAAAAGCCAGTGATAAAATATATAAAGATGTATGAATTTAGGAGAGTATAGCTTATTTCTTTGGTATTTTTGAACTCTTTTTGAAATGAAAGAGACTTTAAGCTTCATCTAGTCTCCTGGTTTCCAAATGTAGATCCAAAGCTTATGTCTGGAGCTCCTAGAAAATAGACATTTCTGTGCCCCATGGTCAGGTGATTTATATGATAATATAGGATAAGGCCAGGAATCTGTATTTTTGTGAAGCTTTTCAAGTAATACGGAAGTGTAGCTGATTTGGGGAACTGCCCATCTTTCTTCAACCTGCTCATTTTATAGCTAAGGAACCCAGTACCAGGGAGGCTGCTATAGAGCTAATTTGTGGCTGAGCTCATCTTCACCAGTTCAAGTCTTTGTCTATGGTGACACTTCCACATGCAGTGCTATGCACAAGAGCCAGGAGGCTGCATGAATGTAAAGGAGTGTGCCTGTGGAGAAGCCGTTCCTAAGACAACCACGATGACTCCATGGTGGCTGAGCATTGATCATACATGGCTAAAGAGGAGTCTCTAAAGCAGGAATAATATGCTTGGGTCTGGGTTGCAGAGCCCTGCAGCCATAGAGGCTTTTACCCATTTTTCAGTCTAGCCAGTTTTTTAGATGGTATTTAGGGGAAGGAACTGGATTGCTGTCTTGGATTCATCACTAAGAAATGTAACTGCTCATGCTTAACCTCAAAGGCAAGATCATACTGAGAAAAGCAAATTGAATATAGATCTTTGTTTGAAATACAGAAGTTACTGATTGTTAATTTTTATTCTGAAGGCATCTTGATGCATTTTTTAATGAGTGCAAAAATAATATCACCATTTTATGTTTTTGAATTTAATATATGATCATCTCAGTCTTATCCTCACTCTTGGAATTGACCTTACACTTATTGTTTAAGTGTGCTGAGTGCACTTGGCTGCAAGTTATTACCACACGTTAGAGTCTTTAATTTTCTCACATCTTCCCTGGATGTCAGAGCCTGTGATTCTCAGGGCTCCTCAATGCTGATTTCTCTGAACAAAGGCAGTCTCTCACTTAAAACTGAAACCAAAACTCCAGTGGAAAATTAAGGAATTATAAACCTAGATATATGATGACTAAGATATAAAGTAATCTGCATTTAATTTCTCCATCAGTACATTCACCAGAAACTTACAGGATGGCCTTCTTAGGATACAGAGATAATGTTGGCAGTTAAAACTGCTCTTTTCACTTTGCTAAAATTATACCATTTTCAGAATGAAAACAGGACAACTGAATCTACAGTATTGATGAAGCAAAGATTCATTGAAGTCAGAAATTTTGAATATGATTTGGATGGTGATCTTTTGGTAGAAAAACACTCACATAGTGTGCATAATATCTTCAGACAGTAAGACACAGTTCTTATATATTCTGAGGCAGTTCATGTTCCTTTATAAACCTTGGGAGGAGAAACTTTCTTGGCAGATTTTTTTTTTGATGCCTACCCAGAATTCAAATACAAATCTGTGCAAACTACCTTTTGTACCAAGGCTCTCACTTTTCAAAAAAGGTAGAGGAGAAATGTTTCTATCTATTAATTACTGGCCAAACAAAAAAAAACTCCACCTATTTCACCATGATAATGGTTATATTCCAGATTTAAACAATTTCAAGAACTGACACAATTTCCCACAGCAGAAACTAGATAAGAAAATACTTGGGAGCTGAAAGCTCTTTCTTTCATCTCTGAATTATCTATATCTATCTGTTGAAAGCAACATTGATTAAGAAAATTGTCCTTACAAGTCAATCCAGATACAATATGTGTTTTTTATTTCTCTCCAGTATATTGAAACAGTTCTGCCATACTATCTGTACTGTTAACAATATTACTCTTTTTAAAGTACAACATGATTCAATACAAATAAAAGATAGATGGCAGGATAGTTTATCGAGTTAACAGTTTTCATGGTGTCCTTACTGTTGTAGGAGACTTGCAGAATGGAGAATTATTTTCACTTCCACAGTCTATTCTATTCTGATTTGGGGCTCACTTTCCTCAGGCAGACTTTAACACCTGTCATGTTTCAGGGCAAAACATGAGATGCCAAAAAGCATTTCAGAGGCAATCTGTCCCATGTGTCAGGTTTAGAAGATAAAGATAGTGCCGGGTCCTAAAGAAAGGGGGTTTGTAGAGGGCTAATGCAAAATGACAGGGAGAGTTGACTGAGACTGAGACTGAAAGGGTTTTAGGAATTTTTTAAGAGTAGCAAACCAACATCCAGCTTACCCTGATGTGGTTATGTGCCTGTAGGATGTCTATGCACGTGAGAGACAGAAAAATTAATGGGAGAATCTGTGGGGAAGTCTCCCCTCTGTGGGGAGGCTGCTGTGTGGGCATCTCTGAGCCCATTCAGAGCATCTGTGGGCCCCAGAAGGAAAGGGACTCCATTGATCGATGCTCCAACCATTGAGCCATGTCAGCTGGGCAACATTTCTGTGTTGCAGAAGGAGCAGCATGTATGGCACCACAATGAAACAGGCGTAGGTCTATCCCTGTGTTCTGGCAATGCATAAACTCTCCAATTCCTGTGGCATTCTAAGAGGGCAGGAGTCCCTAACACATAAAGAAAACTAAACTTTCACCACTAGCAAGTGGTCAGTTGGGCCAAATTGAGGACTTGAATTAGGAAAATGGCTATAAAGTTTATTTTTGCAGAAGAGGTATGTGGGAAAAGTTCAAATTATTAAAAACATAGACATTTTGGAATTGATGCATTTTAAACCAAAACTGAGGGTGCTGAAAAAGAATGGCTTATCTAAATTATTTATTTAATTGATAATGGGTAATTGATTTCAGCATGGTTTCCTTCTCCTAAGGTATCTTTCATATCCTGGAGATTGATAATTTGTTGCAAAAATTATTTTTAAAGATGTGCAATTGTGATTTTATTTGGAGTTATATAATAACAAGAACTCCATCTACATAAAATTGATAGTATTTTTGGAGTTCTATAATAAAAAATTATAATAACAAACTATATGATGTTCTTAGTTTGCTTGGAGAAGGTCCAGGTCTCCCAAATAAATAACAAATAAATAAATGAGTAAGTGTCTTGACATTTTATGAATGCTTGGAAAGATTTTAATGAAATAGAAAAGTTGCCCGGTCAACATAGCTCAGTGGTTGAGCGTCGATCTATGAACCAGGAGGTCATGGTTTGATTCCCAGTCAGGACACATGCCTGGGTTGTGTGCTCGATCCCCAGTGTGGAGCATGCAGAAGGCAGCCAATCGGCGATTCTCTCTCATCATTGATGTTTCTACCTCTCTCGCCCTCTCCCTTCCTCTCTGAAATAAAATAAAAAATATTTTTAAAATGTTATTTTTTTTTACATTTAGAAATAAATTTTAAATTATACATATTGTGTGTGTTTCTAAAAATCACAGAGCTATTTTTAAAATAAATCTTTATTGTTGAAAGTATTATAGATGTCCCCTTTCTTCCCCCCTTTGACCTCTTCCACCTTGTTCCCACCACCTCCCCAGGCCTTCACCACACTATTGTCTATGTTCATGGGTTATACATATATGCATACAAATTATTTCCTTAATCTCTTCCTCCCCCTCTTCCCTTCCCTTTGAGATCCTTCAGTCTGTTGCATGCTTCCATGTCTCTGGATCTATTTTGTTCATCAGTTTTTGTTCATTCGATTCCACTTGTCTTTCTCTGGCTGGCTTATTTCACTTAGCATAATACTCTCCAGGTCCCCCCATACTGTCTCAAAGGGTAAGAGATCCTTCTTTTTTACAGCTGCATAGTATTTCATTGTGTAAATGTACCACAGTTTTCTAATTTACTCATCTAATGATGGACACTTAGGCTATTTCCAGATCTTACCTATTATAAATAGCACTGCTATGAACATAGGAGTGCATATATTATTTCTGATTGGTGTTCAGGTTTCTTAGGATATATTCCTAGAAGTGGGATCACTGGGACAAACAATCCAAATTAAAAATGGGAAAAGGACCTAAATAGACACTTCCCTAAAGAAGATAGCCAAGAGACATATTATAATATGCTCAAAGTCACTAATCATCAGAGAGATACAAATTAAAATGACAATGAGATATCACCTCACACCTGTCAGAATGGCTGCCATCAATAAATCAACAAACGACAAGTGCTGGTGAGGATGGTGGAGAAAAGGAACCCTAGTATACTACTGGTGGGAATGCAGACTGGTGCATCCACTATGGAAAACAGTGTGGAGTTTCCTCAAAAAATTAAAAATGGAACTGTCAGAGTTATTTTAACCTTGAGAACTCATTTAAATTGGGAAAAGGAGTTTGGGGGAAAAGATGAATTTAACATGAAAAAATATATTTATCAGTTTATTTTAAAGGCATTCTATTATACTAAACTAGAGGCCCAGTGCACGAAATTCATGCATGGGTGGTGTCCCTAGGCCTGGCTGGCGATCAGGGCCGCTTCCCCGGCAGCTGGCCCAGCTCCCTACCGTTGCTGCCGCCGCTGTGGTCACCCTCTGTGTGTGGGGCGACCGGCGGGGCTATCAGGGCCCCAGTGCTGCCCGAGTCAGCTGCCACCCACCCCTGGTTCCCGGTTCCCCATCATGCGATCATAGCCTGCCGACTGGGGGGAGGAACCAAGAGGTTGGCCATTCCCGCCTGCTGGGGCCAGCCCTCCCCCACCTCCACCGGTCACCCTCTGTATGTGGGGTGACCAGCGGGACGATTGGGGCCCTGGTGGACATGCCACCACCCACCCCCGTATCCCCATTCCCCATTGGGCCATCGGAGCCTGCCTGCCAAGGGGAGGGACTGAGAGGTTGGCCCACAGGCCCCAATTGGGCAATTGGGGCCTGCGGGCGGGGGACAGCTCCTGTGTTGAACATCTGCCCCCCTGGTGGTCAGTGCACATCATAGCTGACTGGTTGTTCCGCTGTCTGGTCAATTTGCATATTACGCTTTTATATATATAGATTCTGTCTTCCTTAATGCTCTGAAATTAATGTTTTTATTTAAGACTTTATTTTAATATTGGATTCTAAAATCATACTCAGCAATATTTTTGAGTGTAGGATGTGTACAGGCCACTGTGTGCATGACTCTGTCTTTTTTTTATCCATATACAGCATTTATGCCCTTCTGGTAGCAGTTAGCCTGGGTAGTTTGTAATAAAAAGGAAATAGTCTTTTAAAAATTAAGTAATTGTTTTCTTTGTGACTATTGCCAATCAATCTATTTCCTGTTAATGAAGAGAACCACTAATTAAAAACAGAGTAGAAAGCTGTTACCACTGGTAAATTCTAGCTTAAAATGCTATTTATTTAATGTTTACTGTAAGCCAGATTTTCTCCTAGACCAGTGGTTCTCAACCTTCTGGCCTTTTAAATACAGTTCCTCATGTTGTGACCCAACCACAAAATTATTTTTGTTGCTACTTCATAACTGTAATGTTGCTACTGTTATGAATTGTAATGTAAATATCTGATATGCAGGATGGTCTTAGGTGGCCCCTGTGAAAGGGTCGTTCGACCGCCAAAGGGGTCGCGACCCACAGGTTGAGAACCGCTGTCCTAGACACTTATGATTTTGTAATATGGACAATAACCCTTAGCTGTAAGTGCTATGGTTATTCCAGCTTTTACACCTGAAGAAACAGAGGCAGTAGAGGGAATTCAAATAACTGGCTGAAGGTCACACAGCTGGTACAGGGTGGATCTGGAATGCAAACTCAGGCAGCTGGTCTCCAGGGCACATGTTCCTACGCACCATGTCACAGGACTCTGCTAAGTTAGAAGCCACTTACGTTTAACGAGGGCTCCTTATGTGCCCGGCATTTTGTTGTGACCTTTAGATCAGTACATTATTTACTATTTAAAACACAACTAAGGGGTAGAATCATTATTATTCACACTTCACATATTAGACACATTTAAAAATGGTAACTAGCTTGTCTTAGTAAATATAAAAACAAATGTGGGTGAGGAACATGATCTCAGCTCTTTCTCAGAATCTCAAGATCTCGGCATGTTTTCTCAAGTGCTGTCCCAAGACGTGTCAATGTGTCTTCCAATGTGCACATGACATTAATCACCTTTTTCTGCCAAGGACTTTGAGTAATAATTTCTGTATTTGTAGTTCATGCTGAATGGCCTGGATCATCTAATATATATATATATATATATTTTCAGTGGGAAAAATAAGGTCTTTAAGCATCAAGAATCTTTAAATATGCGGTAAGTCTTTAAAATGTTAAATTGACCTATTTACTTTTGAATTGGAAATATGATTCTAAAACAGATGTTGTTTTATAAATAAAAGCTATTCATTTTGCATACATATATAGCAATACAAACAAACATTAACAACAACCTGAATACTAAGGGATAAGGAAAGAGTTCAATAAACTGTAGAATTTATTCTTGGTGGAAAATCATGCACTCATTAAAATATTTCTAAAGGGTAGGCAATAACACTGATGGAAAGGTATTCAAAATAAAATTTCGGGTATAAACTTGTTCATATGGTAATGTTTAAATTATGTTTAGTGATTTTTCTTTCTGTCTTACTCTTTTTTACTCTCGTGATTTTAATTTTTTTTCCTTTTTAAGTATTTTTGTGTCAAGTAGAAAAATATCTGATGAAATGAGATGGTATAATCATAGTATAAGTTAGAATGAAGTTATTCATTTCATTGTACTTAAAAAATTGTCTGTAATTTTAAAAATGTGCTTTGTCCAATTTATGTAGTGTTTAAAGACTGAATTTCCAAAAATATGCCATTAAAGGTCATTTAGTAAAGGTGGCCGGCGGGGACTAGCCACCAGAGAACAGTGATGATACATGAGGAATTGACTGAAAACAGAATGCATAGAATATTTAACTACAGATATCAGTGCTAACGTTCACTTTTCTCAACTGGTTGTAAAGAAAGCAGAATAAGCTTACTCTGATTGATTTAATTTGATTAATCTGGACATTCTCATTGATATACTGGGCCCCTAATCCACTGGGTATTGGCATGATAGCTTCCCATGGAGAGTATGACACCAGGCTATAAAGAAATAATGGGTGAGAGCATGTAAGGCAGGCCAAGCCCAGATGGCATCCTAAGGGATGAGTCTGGACTGTAGATGTCCATTTCCAGACCTAGGGCTGGTTACCTGCACATCCATTTTCAGCCTCATTAGCTTTCAGAACACATAATGCTATTTGTTCTGTTTTAAGTAAGCAACTAATTCTAGGTAGCCTGTGTAAGGATGGAGGGGAATTTGTGGAAGGAGTGGGGGATCTGCAAACATGGGAGATTAGAGCCAAGCTGACCTGTGACCAAATCCTTGAGCAATTTGCTAGTCTACGCTAAGTTGCAGTTTCATCTATAAAATTTAGTTAATCATACTGCCTCACTCATGATATTGCTAGAAGGATATGTTAGGTATGGACTTCTCTGCACATACAATATATTATCACTATTGGCATTATTAGTGGTCGTGTTATATCCAAAACTCCACAGGGCAATAGATGAGTGTTGAGCAATGACTACTTATACTTTCTAGATGTAGAGCAAGGTTCGGGTCATCACCAGAGTAGCAACTTTTTGAAAGAGTGTAGCTGAGAGTAGGAAGACCAGAGTGTAGTATGAAGGAAGGGCAGAAGGGCAACTCTGGAAAGAGTCAGAAAAAGAAAGGCTACATCACACCTTGTGTCTTTTGTTAGGGTGATCGGTTGCTCATAGGAAATAGAAAAAGAAAAATCCCAACTTGCAATTAAGATTTTCTATTTTGAGGGGGAATGATATGAGGACTGCTTTAGGCTTTACACACCAAGGGAACTGATTTAAAGGAATAACTTTAACCCGAAAGAAATTATGGACTATGAAATTCACATTTGGAGTTTGCAGTTTTGTGTTTTGAACATAATAGAGAATACATTGGAAATTAAAAGGGAAGAAAATGTGGCAGTCGTGGTAGATAAAAATATTAAGAGAGCTGACAAGGCAACAACTATAAAAGAACATACCAGAAGCCTATGTATTCTCTTCGATATTAAGAAGCAAAGAGAGCTGACAAGGTAACAGCTATAAAAGAACATACCAGAAGCCTATGTATTCTCTTCTTCTTTGATATACTGTTTAATTTCTGCTAATATATTTGTGGATATTTTTTTTCTATAATAAGCAAAAGATTTCTTCCCATACACAGACTTTTATATTTTTCATCTGAGTTAAGCAAACATTAGGCAAAAGTCATTAACAGTGTCTTTATTGAGAAATCAATGACTAATTTAAAAATAGATTGTTTAAGTGGAAATTGAACTTTCATTATACAAAATTTGGGTGGGGAGCTTTCAGTGGTTTCATTGATTCCTAGTTTCTCTAAGCATTTGTAGGCAACTATCCCTTCTCCCCTTGACCCAACAAGGCTCGCAGCTCAAGAATCCTTGGCTTTTTCCTTGCAACATTGTAGTGCATTTATGAGTTTCATTGGTTGGAATTCTGTTCCATCCAATTATAAAAGTTCTTCAGCCTCTGTTAATCTATTAGATATAGCGAACAGCTTCGTGTTCTACATTAGATATGGGGCTTCCCAATGAGCCTTACAGAACTCTGCACTATCACATGGGATGAAGGCGACTCTCCCTTTTCCTTTGTTACCCATGCGTCAACCTCACCCTCCAAATATTTATTCTTCCATTGACTTTAGGGGTACAGGTAGGCATCCTGTCCTCATGCACAACAATAGCATCTAAATTCTTTATCAAATCGTATTCACTCGCTATCTTGCCTCCACCAGTCGCTATGACATGCACTGACCACCAGGGAGAAGATGCTCCAACTGGTAACATTTAATTTTACTGTGATAGTGGGATCAAACATGATTTCAGGTGATCTCAGTCTGATTGATTATGATAAAATTCACTGTTGACATTTTGCCTAATGATTTACTAGCTGTTGGAGGTCATTACCTAGATTCGTTATTTCATTGTATTGTAAGAGTTTTGGTATCAGTAACAAAATATTGTTTTCCCTTTTCAGTGGGAGGTTTGGGGTTTTTTACTTACCATTTTTTATTGTTGATTTCCCTGTCATACTATATATAAGCGCCTGAATCAATAGAGATTACTTGTTCTTTATTATTCAGCGGCCTTTTCACCTACTACAAAACCTTGAATTTGTATGTAACTGTGATTTCCTGGTCATCTAAACATTATCTTCAGGGATATAGACATTATCATCCTGTATTTAGAAAATTTATTTAATGAGCATGTACTACTTATAGACTAAGCGGAAAAAGTAATTTTAGAAACTGGGTGGCCAAAGCAGAGTACATCTAGTACAAACTACTACTGGTAAATAATTAAATATGCCTCCACTTTAAAATCTAAGGAGACCCTTTACTTATAATGATAGTTTGGGGACACATTGATGTATTTTATATAAGTAGCCTACTTACTTGTACTCTTATGATTAAAGATATTTTTATTCTATCTTAAAGCAAATAAAAGAGATGGCCCTCAAGAGAAGTACACTATAATTCTGGTGGCCCAAAATATGTTATAATGAAATATAACTCTCCCTGTTTCAATTACCATAAAGGTTTCCAATAAACTTATGACATTTTTGAAGGCCTGATTTCTCATTAGCATCATTATAGAGCAATTGGAATTATTAATCCTCTGCGAGAACTTTGTCTCTCACGGTGTATAGTTTAAACCTCCAAGCCCATAATGCTATTCTGCAGATGCTTTTTCGAGGGCACTGGGATATTCACGGTGCAGACCTCTATGAGCACTACTAGGGAACCGCATCTCATATTTGCCGAGGACCACGGCGGGTAATTGTGTGATCGTATTAATGTATGCTGCAGGAAGTAAAGACATGATTTCTAATACAAATGCTGACCTGATGAAATGGGCATTCTTGACATCAGGTTTTTCAAAAAGGAGGAAATCTCCATGTTAGATCATCTTCTGATGAATAAAAACTGATATGTATCTGCTGCAGAGAGTTCGCTTTGTGGTTTGCAATTTTAAGTCCATGGTGTGTTTATTTATAACAGGAAAAAGGGTTGACTTTCAGAGAATGATACTGAGAATAGGGATTGTTGTAGCATTGCACATTGCCTGAAACCAAATGACACTAAATATTCCCCTGATACAATATGGAATTTTATCATCTTTAAAAATTTCAAAGCTAGATGAACCAGGATAGTGTGCTACTTGAAATATTGTTTTCACATGATCATGATTAAAAAGGCCAGTGTAGTTCTGCAAATGTTTATTCACTAACTTCTACATGCAAAAATATTGGAAAGTGTGAGTGACATAGATTGGGATTTTATTAATAATAAATAAAAGCATTTTATGCTCTTTTATGAGTGACAGATTCAAACATCCATAAAGGATAAGCAAGTAAAAGGAAAGCACAGAGCTGTCTAAAGATAAATGGTGGCATTATTTAAAAGGGACATTGTGGCAACCCAGAGAAGAATTGATTATTTCTAAAGGGTTGGAGGGAGGACAATTATTTTTCAACTCTGAAGAATGTTTGTATACAACCAACTTTGGCCTGGAACCCCAGTGTTACAAGATCTAATTATTCAATGCTATTTAAATATCTATCTTATATAATAAAAGCCATTCGACCAATCAAAGTGAATATGCTAATGATATGCTAAGGCAGCTCAACCGCTCACTATGACGTGCACTGACCACCAGGGGGAGACAGTTGACCGGTCCACCAGTCGCTATGACATGCACTGACCTCCAGGGAGAAGATGCTCCAACTGGTAGGTGAGCTTGCTGCTGGGGTCTAGGGAGAAGATACTCCAACTGGTAGGTGAGCTTGCTGCTGGGGTCTGGCCGATCGGGACTGAGCGAGACAGGCTGGACATGCCCTGGAGCCCTCCCATGGTTCCTCCCCAGCTGGCTAACCTCCCAAGTCCCTCCCCATTTCTGATCATGCACCAGTGGGGTTCCTCAGCCTGGCCCAAGCCCTCTCACAATCCGAGACCCTTCGGGGGATGTTGGAGAGCCAGTTTCGGCCCGAACCCGCAGGCAAGGCTGAGGGACCCCACTAGTGCACAAATTCGTGTACCGGGCTTCTAGTATTTAAATAAATTATTGGCTCATTTTTCTAGATCAGGGGTGGAGAACCTTTTTCTGCCAAGGGCTATTTGGATATTTATAACATAATTCACAAGCTATACAAAATTATCAACTTAAAAATTAGCCTGCTATATTTGGTCAAACATTTAATTCACTCACCTCAAATGCTTTGGCAGGGCCAGACCAAATGACTTCTCAGCCTTAAAACCAAGGGCCAGCCAGGAGTTCCTTGCCCCTGTTATAGACAAACAAAATAGTTTTTGAGAACCTCTGCACTAAACTCTTACACACATGTGCAGTATAGCTACTTCATATTCTTCAATGCACCAGTTTCCCCAGTGACATTGGTGGAAAAAGTAAGCAAATACCTATTATTAATTCTCCCTTAATTTAAATTGTATATAAATATAAATTTCTTGTCCTCAACCCACTTTAGATTTTGTTAAGATTATAAAGAATTTTACTTTCAGATATTCTTCATTGCTATGAATGTTTTCCTTTTATATTTAAAAAATTAATTTTAACCACAGCATAGATCTCAAAAAGCAGTATCAAAACTCAATTGTTGCCCTAACCGGTTTGGCTCAGTGGATAGAGTGTCAGCCTGCGGACTGAAGGGTCCCAGGTTCGGTTCCGGTCAAGGGCATGTACCTTGGTTGTGGGCACATCCCCAGTGGGAGGTGTGCAGAGGCAGCTGATCGATGTGTCTCTCTCATCGATGTTTCTGGCTCTCTATCCCTCTCCCTTCCTCTCTGTAAAAACTCAATAAAATATATTTTAAAAAAACCAAAAAGCAAAAAAACAAACAAAAAAAAAACTCAATTGCAATTTTGTTTAATTTCTCACCATTCTTTTCCAAATACCACAATTTTATATGTCCCTTTTATATGTCCCTTTTATATGTCCCTGCCTTTTTTAAAAAAAGTGTATAGTTCTTTCCTTTTCCTAAAAGGAGAAAAATATTAATAACTTGAGTTATTGAAAATCCAGTGACTTCCAGCAATCCTGGGCTTTCATTAGAGTTACCGGTTGAAAGGACGATGCAAATCCACAGTACAAATTGTGTCACTGCATTAACAATTTTAACTTTCAGTTTCAGATCTGCGTTTAGATCTGATGTACTTAGGTCTTTTTCTCGCCATTTGCCTAATTTGTGCCAACAATGGAAGGTACTGAGGAATAGCTGCAATTGCTAGACTTTTACTCACTTTTGAATTCAAGTTTGCATTTTCTCTCTGCCGAGTAGGAACTTTCTACATGAAAAACGCATCCATGGAAAGCCGGGCAATTGAACATTCATTCCCTTCCTGCTTTGCAGTGAATATAAACTGACTCCATTTCAGTTTATACACCTACTCATTTTCTACTTTAGAGCAGCTTTTATGTTAAGGAAATGTCTGAAGAACTTCTATCTCCTGGGAAGAAAAGTGTGTTATATGTCAAAGCTGCAATTGTTAAAAGACTATAATATTTTCAAAGGGTGGGAATCAAGGTCAAATCAAAAGGCTAAGTCCCTTTACTTTCCTGTTTCCCACTTCTCTTTTCTCTATTATTATCATGTCTATTTTCTAAAAGGTTATGCAAAATAAATTAGGCTTTTAGAGCGCTGACAGCTCAGGCATAGAGAAATTCTTTCCTCCTTTTTTTTTTTTTTTCACTTTATACGTGAACACCTGCTACACTTTTAATGAGCTTTAAATTATACTTTACACCCATGTAACAAGAATGGATATTGCTCTTTAGTTATAATCAAAGAAAATATCATGATGACTTGTTGCTAAGAGCAACAGCTTGTCAAAAAAAAAATGATACTTTCTTCAGTAACAATATAGATAGATAGGTCCAGGTTGATAGATGGAAAATATGATTTATACTACATTGAGAATTATCAATCTTTTAAATTTTTTTGTCTTTGGTTATTTAGGAGGAATTTGTCATTGCTCTATGGCTGTGCCTACATTATTTTCTTTTGTTCATATCTTTGTTCTTTCTGTCTCTTTGCTAGTTACAGGCTAAAGGATTAAAATGAAAATTCTCCTTTATGCTTTTATTTTCTCTGATACTTTAAAATGGGTAGACTTTCAGTAAGATTCCAAGAGCCTCTTGAAATACCAAATTAAAATTATATGTGTTTATTTTTTTGAATCCTGTTTTCCTCTATAATTTGATCCACTTTAATATGTTTTTATTGATTTTTAGAGAGAAACACCAGTGTGAGCGAGAAAGGATCAGCTGCCTCCTGCGCACTCCCAACAGGGTATAGAACCTGCAACCCAGGCCTGTGCCCTTTCAGTGCATGGGATGACGCTCAGCCAACTGAGTCAAACCTTCTAGGGCTAATTTGATCCACTATAAAATACTTAACCCTATTGAAGTGACCTCTAGTCATTATTAGATTTTCTTTTTTGGACAAAAAGCAGTCATTAAAAATGAACTATAGCAATTTGGCTATATTTTATCCTCCCATGAGAAATCTTTGACTTCATGACCATTCAGAATTTATTTTTTTTCTACAATGGTACCAATTTAATGCCACCTCCGGGAAAATGAGATGGCTGAGTGAAAGAAAGTTAGATATAATGCAATGGAGGATATAATGCGGGGGAGACAGAAAGAGGGGCTCTGAAAGTTTTTGTCCAATGTCCCAGCCAGGCACTGGGGGAGCCATGATACTATGATAGAAGAACGTAAGAGGATCCTCACCAGGGTGTACAAAGAAGAAGTAGGTACCTCTCTGTTGAGATGAATACCTTACCGGCTGCCTGCTTTCAGGTTGAGTTATGTGATGGCGATGTGTCCATAGCAAGGGCTGTTCCCTTGGTAGTTAAACGCGTGGGCTCACTGTTTTGTAAGTTTTCCCCTGTATGCTGATAAGGAGGCCTGGCCTCCAGAGACTATTCTGTTATTTAAAATGCCTTTTTAATAGGGGCTTAAAATGTAATTTTATAAAAGGAACAATGAGGAGAAAAAAAATAGAACGGGACAGGAGAGTATGAAAATGAAGGAAGATGAGAGGATAAAATAAACAAGACAGGACTGTTTTAGCATATTTTTCCATGCCATTTTATAATCCACATAAGATTTGGAAAACAATGAACTGCTTAATTGGAAGTATAGTTCAGCATCATAAATTCAATAACTTCAGTTTTCAAATCTTTCATTTTTATAAACATTTTAAAGTGTTTGAACTAAAATGAATAAAATTGCAATGCATAATCTTTTTTTTCTTCATGTAATTCCTAAAACAATATACCTTTGCCTGTAAGTGTGCATTATTACTGTACTCTTCTTTAAAAAAAAAAAACTTTACGTATCCTATTAAAAAGCTACAGAAGAAATGCACTCTTTTCTCTTATCACCAGTTACAAAAACTTCAAAAAATGTTTGGTTCCAAAGCTCCTCAATATGCAAGCTATCTATTTATACTAATTATTCATGCCTTGAGAGACTGAAAACTAGAGATAGAATTCTCATGAGAAAACAAACTCTGTACAGTTACACGTGAGCTTTCCTAAAATTCCCTGCTTCCATTCACAGTAGCTACAGAAAGAATATCATGTCTGGTATTTTAAGTTAGCTAATAACAATGGTAACTATTTATAATAAAACAATAGCTATAATAGTATATTTACAGGTATATTTCTTTATTTAAATTGGCTACAATGTCATCACAAAGTAGCAAAAAAATGTACTCAAGCACTTTTTCACTTCCCCTGGAACTAGTGTCTGTTTTGTGTGGTTTATACTTAAACAATAGCTATAATAGTATATTTACAGGTATATTTATTTAAATTGACTACAATGTCATCACAAAGTAGCAAAAAATGTCCTTCAAGCACTTTTTCACTTCCCCTGGAACTAGTGTCTGTTTTGTGTGTGTGTGACTTTGAAAAAGCACAGAGATAAAATGGGTTCAGTCTGGTGAGCTGGTTCTGCTATATTCTATAAGATATTCTCCAGTTCAGGGACCTTTTTATAAGATTATCTTACCTTTCTTCCTTTCATCATATCTGTCTCCATGTTCACTAATTGTACTCGATTTTGCCAACTGCCAACGCTGAAGTCCAGTCCTTGGACGTCAGGAATGCTGGTTCTCAGGCCTTTGGGCTGAGAATGATTCACACCACCAGCTTTTCTGGTTCTTCAGCTTCCAGTTCACATTGTGGGAACTACTGGCCTCCATGGTCATGTGAGCATTTTCTACAATAAATCCCCTCACGCATAGACCTGTCTGTGTCCTAACGGTCCTGTTTCTCTGGAGAACCCTGAGTAACACTCCTGCACAGTCTCCAGTTCCCCTTATATTCTCCTTAGAAATGGATCTGGAGTCAAGCAGAAAGGCGTGTACAGGTATTTCTGTTTTCTTTTGGCCTTGGGAATGGAAATGAGTGAAGGCAATTGAGGGATCAACAAGTCAATCTAAGAATCTTAATTTTAATATACGAACTTTAAAAAATAGCTGAAAAGCCAGAATCCATTAAATAAAACTAACCAAATGTGCATAAAATGCACATACACTTTATTTTACATATTTCTATTTTTATGTAAGAGAATGTGTTTTTCTAATCATTCTCATTTGCCTGCTCATTGAGCTGTTCATTCATTTTCAACTGTTCTGCGTTTCCCTCTGCAAGAAATCCTGAGTGGATAATTTTGATTAGTAGCTCTCTCTGCATACGCATCTTTTTTGTTCATATTTTCAACTGTTACAGTTTCCCTTTTCATTTTAATATGGCTCTCCATTTTATGCTTGTGATTTAGACTAATGTCTTTGATGTGAGCCATTAATATAGAGGTTTGATCATTTTACATTGACAAAGGTATGAAAATACATTCATTTACTCCTTTAACAAGAAATGTCATACCATTGAGATTTAATAAGTAATCGTACTGAGAAATGAAAGTATGTCAGTGTCTTTGTTAAGTAAAAGCAACAAGTCATGAAATTTTTATCTTTGTGAAGAAATAGGTCTTCTTGGAGATAATGGTGCAAGAGACATTTAGAAAAGAAGTTTTTAGAAGAAAGTAAGACGTGAACCGAAATGACTCTTGCATGCAGTAGTCTCCGCCATGGCACGCAGCAAACACTTTCTGAACCAAATGTTGGTGGACTGTGGGCTGAGACAGGCAGTCTTATGAGCAGGCCGTTTCTCCTTTCTTCCTATCTTGCAGGAGGCTGTTAGGAGGCAGTTCCCCATGTCTCCTTAGTTTCACAGGCCTGAGACTTTCTATCTGGCCCTTACTTTTGGTACAGCTCAAAACTATTCAAATGCTTGCCTTTGCCCTCTCACATCATTGATGTTTCTATCTCTCTCTCCTCCTCTCCCTTCTTCTCTGAAATCAATAAAAATATATTTTTAAAAAAATAAAATGCTTGACTTTGGTTTAGAGTTGGCTCCCTAAAGATAGACTCCCATCCAAAGATGAGACTCCTGAAGATTGTCTCATCTTCTCATTCCTCACTGTTACTGTCCTGATGTATGTATGCCCTCATTACAACTCTTAAAATAGACCCTGCACCGACCAGCTTATTGCCACTCTCCCTTCCTCCCATAAGTGTTATATACAAAGAAGCCAGATAATGCTCTTGTGTGTGTGTGTGTGTGTTTGCGCGCCCACAACCAGCACCTTCCTCTCTACTGGGTAAGCCTAGCACTGCTTGAGCGTTTACTGTCCTTTGTCCTTAGTAACAATAACTGTAGTTCCTCAGGTTCGTCAGTCAGTCCAGGTTTGTTTTCCTTCCCTTGACATGATTGTTTTTGTCACGGCCTGTGACTCATTTCTAGCAAATTGTAGCTGATGGGAAATCTGTAACCTTCTGGGAATGGTTTTTCTTATGGGTTAAATGAGATTCAAGGGTGAAAATGCCCCTGTGTTTTAACAGGACATCAGCTTCCTGCATGTGAAGCCCAGAACTGGTACAGTATCCTTTCAGTCACGAAGGAGACTCCGTCAGCAGGTGCAGTGATGAGGCCTATGGATGGAGAGCCTCTGGTCTTTAATGAATTCACTGAGCGAGTGGATTTGCTGACCTTTAACCGCACTGCGTATAGTAACTCTTATGTAATATAACAAACCACTTACATTTAAAGCCTTTATATACTAGGTAACTTAGTTTATGTGAGGCTGTTATTCAGATCCCAAAGCATATTTGTTGCAACTCAAATCACTTTATTGCTCTAATTGTTCTCTATTCCCTTCAGAATTATAACGCGCATAGCATTGCATTTAAGGACCTGTATGAACTGGCTGTAGCATACCTTTCCAATTTTATCTCTCATACGACTCTTGAGAAATTTTTTTGCTCCATTTAAAATAATCTGTCAATTCACTGTTCTCGAACAAGTTTTAGAATCATTCTCTCATTTGCCTTGAAACATGTTTTCCTTCCACTTATAATGCCTCAAAACTATTTTTCTATTGAAATTATTATTATTTTCTTAAGTTAAAAAACCAAGGTATTCATGAGGTGACCCTATTCCTCTGATTGGAACTTAAAACCTCTCCATCTGGCCCTGGAGTGTGTCTCATGAGGTGAC